AAACCTGACTGTATTATTACGGGGTCTATGGAGAATTTTTCCCGGACCTTTCGAACTCTGAGAGACCCACGTAAAACCGGTCTTGTGCCACATACCCAGTTAGTATTAGGTCAGTTGCTAAGTGTACCTTCCTGTAATAAACCTTCTATTTCAATACTTAACTACGAGTTTGTCTTCCTTATTTATTTCTCTCTGTTATCTCGAAACTTTGGTGGGTGGTCGATTCTGATAAAAATGAACATCTCTATAACCGAAGACCAGATATTGGATGGCTCCGTTGTATATTTATTTTATCAATAGGCAGCTCCATTCGAGATATGACAGCAATATTTCCTTTTTGGTTTAATCTGACTCTGGAAATTTCACCGTGGAATCTTGTTTTAATTACAAAAAAATTAAAGACAAATTTTCATTAATTACATGTTAAAAAGAAACTGGCATTAATTATAGGCTATAAAAAATATTGTATTACTCATAGGACTATACTATTAAGGGTAATATATAGACGATTCTTTATAAGAAAAGATTCGGCATTCATTGATAGACATCTCAATACTACTGTCGGTTGAAATTTATAAAATCTTTCTCTAAAAACGATTTTTCAGGAAAATCGGTTTATCAAATCCAATAGCTGTTATTGTTCTTACCAGTATTAATGGAAGTTTCCTTCCTTACGTTTTATTTGGATTAGTGTGGAATGTCAACATCTTAAGATTTTCTCTTAGAGTTACATGCATATATCCATTTTAGTTGTTGCTGCTATTGATAATCCTCAAGTAATATGCTATCCTTTATTTGATACAGTTCGTTGTCTGTAGTTCTGCAGCTCCAATCCACAATGTTCAAAGAAGGATAGTCTTCGCTAAGATCCACATGCTTAAACTCGCTCAAAGCCATTTTTAACTATTGATCTTTAAAAGCGATTGTATACAGTGAGAATCTATATATTTCTGAACGGTTTTGGTGCCATACATGACATCCATATGTAAGTCTTGATCTGATGAGGCAATTTAAGAACATGACGGGACTTTTCAGGTTAATGTTTTGGCTTTGTACAAACTTGCAGTGTTGGGTGAAACTATCTCTAGGATTACGTTTTCTATATTCCATTTCCTTTTTTTTTTCTGTACTAGATTTGTTATAATTGATCCGCACAGCGATGTATTTGAATTTTTTAGTGTTTATTAATTCAATATCCAGGACTTTTATGGTGGATTCAGCGTTCATGCTATAATGGCTGGTGTTAATTATAAGGCTCAACTTATATCTCATTAGTAATTTATGCCCCACTTTTGGAACGTCCTACGTGCATAAATGGGTTATGCAGCTTACTGAATCAGGTACAAAATAAGTATTCAGAGAGATAAGAAAATGTTGGATAATAATATTAAGAGATAAATAATCAAGAGTAGGAAAAATAAAAGAATAATTCTGAACAGCGGACAATTGTCTTTGGCTCTTAGAAAAATGAGCCGCCATATTAGTTTGTTGGACTAGGCAGGTGTATTTTCAGAAGTAGGGACCGCTATTCCAAACTATAGAATATTGCGTTCTCGGTGACAATTCGTAGAGAGAAATGAAGGACTCGTTTTATAATGATTCCAAGGAATGTTCAAATGTTGAACAACATGAACCATTACAGTACATTGTTTTTTTTACAAAACCCCCATTTTTTTTTCTGTCAAATTCTGAGTGAATACTTTTGGTAAACTTTAGTATAATTATAGCCAAGTTGACGACGAGGAAATATTCTGGTTTTTATTTGGCTTCTTTTATTTATTTTTTTCTTTTCTTTTTTCTGTTTTAATTTTCTATCGGATTTTATTCCGTTGTCAGTTCTTTTGTTCTTTTTCTTATCGTCCGTTACATTTTGTCCTTTATTTTTCTCTTTCTCGCCTTTTTTCGCCTTTTTTCGCCTTTTTTCGCCCTAGTTTATTGATCAGTTTTTTTTTTCTTTATTTCTCTCTTCGTATATCTTTCTTTCTCTACAGTTCTTTTTTTACCCTTTTCTTTTCTATTTTTTCCTCTTCCTCCTGCTCCGTATATATATTTTTTTTTCTATCACGTTCATTTTCTTTCCACTTTGTCTTTATTCTAGTTACTTCCTTTCACGTTTTCCCATTTTTTCTCTTTCATTAAAAGCGATCATTCTCTTCTTTTGTCTTCACATCACCTTGACTATTTCTTTCTTCCTTTATTCTTTCTTCATCATTCAGTCATTATTTTCCGTTTCCTTATCTTTTCCTCTCTTTCATTATACTGTTTACTTCAACTTTTATTCACTTTCTGTTTGTCTTTCTCTCTTTTATTCCTTTTATTGTTTTTCATCTTTTCTCTCTTGCTACATTCGTTTTCTTTCTTTTTTCATTCCCCTTTCTTTTTCGTTTTTTTTCTATTATTTTCCCATTTTTTTCTTTCTTTTTTTCCATCTTTTTCCACTAAGATTTGCTCTCTTTTCTTCCTTTTTATTTTTATTCTAAGAAGTTTTACGCCAAAATAAAAGCTTTTTTTTTTCCTCCATTTTTATTCTTCTCCTATTTACCCTCTGCGCTTACAGGAAATAAATACCACACAGTCTTCTTCATACTAAACCCGAACATGACCAATTTCTTCTTTCCTATATTTTGAGTGTTTCTTATTTCAATGTTTGGTGATTTATTTTTCCCCAACAAGAACGAAATCTTCAATTGGTCCTTGATTGCTCTGCAGTTTGCCGGAAAGCTCCAAATTCTGGGATAATTTCGACAAATCTTGCCATAAACACAAACATAGCATCAGCGCATGGGAGATAGGGGAAAAAATGTACTTGATTGCTTTCCGGGCGGATAAGCGTGCATCAAGAAAGACTTCGTTTTGTATATTTTTTTTTTGTTTTTTGTTTTTTGTTGACTAAGCAAGAAACGACCAAGACTGGAGGTATGTAATCGTCTGCCTCTTGCCAGTAATTGCACAATCCTCAATGTACGCAGTATAGATATTGCAGATCTTACGAGCTCAAAACGATTAAATGCAGATCTTTTTCCCACTTGCGAGCGGCTGATGAATTATCTTTCCGGAAATGTATTTGTCATTTTTTTTTTCTGGCTGTGAAGCGATTATTCGTGACAGTTCGTAAATGTTGAGAAAGGCAATGAAATGAGACATTGACCTGAGTGCAACTGGTCATATGTATAAATAATATAACAGTACAAAATCCCAAATATTTCAGGAAATATATTTCAATAATGTATATTTATCATATTGCAATACGAAACGAACGCAGGAGTAACTTATCTGTAGCTTTATTCAACTTAGAATGGAGTGTGTCTGATTGGACATTTAAATACAGAAAACGTATAAGGGGGGATAATCCATATCACGCATAACTGGGGCACATCGAGGTGGTGTAATGGTTAGCAAGCTTGTCTCGCTAGAACAATTACGAATGTGTAGTGAGTTCGATCCTCACTGATGCCCCTTACTTTCAGCCTTGTGCCACATCCAAGCTACGCTTGTAAAATCGTTATACGAACACTGGACCTCTTTGATTGGCTGGTTGGTTTTGCTTAGCGGCGTCTCAGCCTCTGTGTAATGCCGAAATTTGAATATTTTGAAGGCGATTTTTTTTAGGTAATAATTGTTTTAGTGATACAAGTTGTACTAATTAACTCATAGCTGGAGAAGGAAGAGCTGGATTCATGCCTTTTCCCAAGGTTATTTACGCGTAAGTGAATATAACGAACCCAACTGGAATTAGAACTGGGGTATCCGATTAACAATTCCTTGCATTCAACCATTACATCATCGGCATATCTAAGCTTACAGCACCTTGTATTCCCAAGCGGTCACCAATCTAGGTACTGGCAAGGCTCCATGTTGAGTAAGTTCGGTGATCGTGCGTGAACCAATGTTTCGACGTGATGTGGCCATAAACAGGATCTCTTTGGAATGTGTGTTGCAATAATCCATACCGTATGCCAGTAGCAAACTGGCTGCATAAGGATAAGAAATGAATTGAATATGTACACACAAACAGAAAGGAGAGACTGATGTTTCAAGGATCTCATCGATTCTCGACGGCGAAACTGGAAACCCTACAAGAATTTATTATCAATAGGTGTAATATAAGATGCACAAATGACACTGTGTTCATGGCAGGCAAAGATAAAAAAAAAATATAGGACCTACTGAACAAGTTAACAAAGCAAAGCGAAAGGAGAAACAGTCAATTGTAAGAAGAGTGAATTTAGAATTGTCAGTAAAAAGAAAAAGCGCAAGACGTAAACTATGAGTTGGAGATCAAAATCAAACCAATACAGAAGTTTAAATATCTGGGTAGTATGTTAACAGAGGTTGTAAAATTTGACACCGAAATCCGAACGCAAAATATTGGAAATAGCAATACTGGATTCCAAATATATAAGTTAAATACTAAGAAAAAAAAAAACAGTAACATTTCATTGGAAACACAAAAGAGAGTGTTGAAATGTTATGCAATATCAATTCTCCTTTCTTTACGACATTGAATGTTGGACACTTTCTTCACAGATGAAGAGAAGACTTAAGGCAACTGAAAAGTGGTTCTACAGAAGGGTGTTAAGAATAACATAGATATGGCTAAAAGTAACGAGAGAGATTTGAAGAAAATGGGTACAAAAAAGAACACTTATACGTGTACACATAACGAGTGCTTGAAATATATGACAGCCACATGTACTTCTGGGGGAAAAAAGGGACGAAGGAAATCAATGAGAATACTATCTAATGAGCTTATCTCAATGGATGACAGATGTGGGAGATACGGCAAACGGAAAAGTCTGTACTAAGCGATAACGATATATATATTAGGTTGGTGCAAAAATAATGTCGTTTTTGAAGTTGAACGTCAAAAAATGACATTATTTTTGCATAACCTAATATATATATATATATATATATATATATATATATATATATATATATAATTTAGCTCTTGAAAATATATATCAATTGAGCACTGTTGAGTGATAGGCTAATTCTATAAATAACAGCAACCTGCGTTAATGCAAGACTCTTCAGTAAAATGAATTGAAGCAGTCCAGCTGATTGTCTTTTGTTTACATTTGTAAAAATAATACAGTAGATTTAGCTGTTTCTCTCTTAGCTCAGTGGTAGAAACATTTTGACATCCGTTCAACGCATAAAAAAATGTCAAAAAACGTTTAAAAATGCACCCCTACCATCCATTGACTTAACCTCTTTTTCGAACGTAACTCATAATTGATACAACAATAGTTAATAAAAATGAACACGCTACCGCCCCTGTCTAAATGATTGGGTTTCACTGTATCCTTGGAAAGAAAAAATTATGAATTGTGTGTGCGTTTAAAACTCAGTAAATTTAAAAAGAAGTTATTAAAAAATTCGCTTGAAGATGAAACATAACTAATGCTTTTAATTTATAATTAAATTTGAAGATTTTAGACTCGGTTTTTGAAAAATGTTAATTCCTGTGTCGCAAAGAAACCATATCTTAAATCAGTTAATTTATAATATATATATATATATATATATATATATATATATATATATATATATATATATATATATATATATACATTGTCCTGACGAGAATTGCTGTTTGCAACAAGAATTGCAGATCATCATCTAGACTGAGGTGGCACATGGTGGTAGACAGGAAATTTGTATAGCATCTAGATCCAATAAATACAATCAAGGACATCCTCTATCATATATTCCTGATATCTATGGAATCGAATGCTAGAATTCAGGAGTCCTCTTAGGGTCTGTGAACCACGAAACTAGAAGGAAGCCATTACAGGTGATGTGAGGAGTGATGGCTGCAGCTCTCATCTAAGTGCGATGTGGCAATCACCATCCTGGGTATGGCATATAATGGTTCAGCTCTAGGGTTCTGTAAAACTTGTAAGTTCGGAATTAGTACTTCATCGTCATCACACACTGATATATCAAGACCATCATTCGTACTATTTGTTAGGGTCCCATCTAATGGTTAAATACTCATCGCAAATTGGGTTCTTGATCTGCTTCTCTGGGAGAGATGAACCTCTATTTTCTTTTGTTAAATCATTCCTCTAGAAGGCCGTCCTGAATATGACGATAAAATACATCCAGCAGCAACGCCTCGGATCTAGAGTTTTTGAGAAGCGTGGAATCACCTCTAAATTGCTGTTGTTCTCAGGTCCATCCTGATCGGGGTGATACCATCTCTTAGGACTGGAGTCAAAACACTATTAAAAAAAAAATCAGTAAAATTACCAGAAATACAGTTTTTTAAAAAGAAATTACTAAATTCTCCCAAGACAATTAAATTTCAGCATTAAACGACCCATAAGGAGTTGATATGCCTCTAAACAAACAAATAAATTCTCCTAGAAGGCAGCCTGCTATAAAAGCTTCGCCTTCGGTTGTTGGGTGTCATTCAAGGCTTTTCCTCGCTTAAAACAATCAAGCACGGCTATTATTTGTTAAAAATATCATCGATAAAGGATAATTCTGTTTGAATCACAATGGCTGACCATAGCTGAAAAATAATATCGAACTTAGTAAACATGAAAAAAAAATACTGACGGGCGTGTTGTCTGACATGTCGCAAAATCCACATTCACCTGACTCACCTATAAAGCTGCGGAGTGATGCGATTTTAAGCAACGGCTATACTCGAAAACGGCGAATCTGCTAGTGTATGTATATAGATAGGTATGTAAGTAATATATTGGCTGAGGGTTTAGAGGTTTCCTGTTTATTCAATCAAGGTGTGTGAGCATAATTTTTTTTTCACTTTTCGCTCGTATATGCAAACAACTATATAGCAGAAATTAGTTTCAAAATTAATTTGCAACGAACAGAGATTAGATCCATTGTCAATGGATTACTTTTTCTGAAAAATAGATTAATCTCTTTTCCTATATGAGAAATCGCAAATAAGGATAATTAAATTTTGAAAAACAAATTTACGTCTTTTCATATACGATAGAAAACCGATAATGACATTTAATTTTTCGAAAAAATAAATTTAAGGCTTTTAATAAATGAGATACTGACAATAACGATGGTTCTTTTTTAAAATATAATTTTAACACTTTTATGAAAAGCTGAGATTAATGCTTATTTTTGAAAAATAAATTTTATTTTATTCTATATGAGACATAGCAAATAATGATTATATATATATATATATATATATATATATATATATATTCTAAAAATAACTTGAACTCTTTTCCTATATGAGAAATACACGTTAATGATTATACATTATGCGATAGACAAATTATCGTCTAAATTACGCAAAAATTAAAATAGCATAGATTTCTCATTTTGACAGATATATTTACCAAAATTACACAAAAATATCTTGAAAATACTAAAAAGTAGATTTATTTAATTAAATGACCATTGGCTTCAACCCCGGCCTCCAGACGACTTCTGAATCCTCTGCAACTCATGCGTGGTCTCCTTGTTTAAGTTTGTGAATACTACAATAATCCTTGTCTTCAC